ATCCTGTGTCTGACCTCCTGATTCCACTGCCTAGTTTTATTACCTTACATTTTCTTTGGGTTGATCTTTAGTAGCCATTTGTTGGACTATACATTCAGTTTGTCTAGGTCATCTTGTAGCCTTATACTATCTTCCTCTTTCTTAATCCTCCTCATAATTTTTGCAGTAAACAATGAGAGGAACGACTTTATTCTCTCTGGGAGATCATTTACAGATATCGGAAACAGTATAGATCCAAAGACTGTTTTCTGTGGGACTCAGTTGGTAACACCTCGCCAATCTGAGACCTCACCCCTTACAGGGACTCGCTCTCTTCTGTTGCTTAGGTACTCCCGTATCCAATGGAGTACCTTTCTTTTCACTCCTGCCTGTATTTCCAGCTTGTGCACTAATCTCTTGTGTGACACTGTGTCAACGACTTTCTGGCAATCCAAAAATAAGCAGTCCGCCCACCCCTCTCTTCCTTGCGTGATTTTTGTTGCCTGGTCGTTGAATTCAATTAATCCTGTGGGGCATGACTTGCCATCCCTGAACCCATGATGATATTGCGTTACAAAGTTCTTTTGCTCCAAATGTTCCACTAGTTTTTTCGCACAATCTTCTCCATCAGCTTGCATGGTATGCATGTTAGGGACACTGGCCTGTAATTCAGTGCCTTCTGTCTATCCCCCTTCTTGTATATTGGGATTACATTAGCCGTCTTCCAAATTTTGGGCAGTTCACCTGTTACCAGTGATTTGTTATACACCATGGAGAGTGGCAGGCACAGTGCTTCTGCCTTTATTATCCATAGTTAGAGTCCATCCGAGCCTATAGCTTTTGTCTCATCAAACTCTAACAATATCTTCCTTAATTCCCCTGTTACGGCCACTATGGGTCGCAACCGGGTTCTTTGATGGTAGAACCAAAATGATAGTATCCGACCCCAAGTCGGTAGTACGCTGTCAAGAGAGTGGCTATGTAGTGCATAAAAAAAGGAGGGAATGAACAAAACACTGTTCCTTTCGTCAATGTATTAACTATCTTTTCACCACCGTTAAGTTTATATATGTACACCGTCACCATAAATAATATATAAAGAACAGATAGGCTATTACTACACCTATGTACAATCTTTTTGCTCAGGATATCAAACGTGCTCACGTGCAGAGTTCATTAATCCTCAGTATTTCTTCACTGTCCAGTAACGCATCCAATCATACTGGGAAGAAAACCGGCGAGTTCACCTGTACGTGGGCCAGCCCACTGACAGTGTCATGAGGTGCCTGTACCCCCACGACCGCTCTCCAGCTACCCGCTGGCAGAGTACCTCAGCCACACGCTGAACAGGATCACAAACCAATACAGGGGTAGCGATCCCCTGGCAGCAGCCTCTAGCGACCAGCTAGCAGCACTACTCAACAGGCACCTCCCTGTCGTCAGTCTCTCCCCTAAGCCAGTCCAAAAGGTACGCCGATCTTTTTCAACACTAGCAGCTACCACACTGCTTCATTGGTGGCGGCTTGCTTGGTCGTTTCCAGGACCATGTAGGGAGACCGTGGACTGCCCAAGATGAACTGCCGTCTCCAGTACCGCTGCCCCAAGACGTCACCTCTGTGGACACAAAACGTCATCAATGACCTAGCCGGTACTGGCGAAACTAGGAAATACCACTAACCCACTGGGAAGTTGACATTGTGCTCTGTAGCACACACTAGGTGGTGCTGGTCTTGATGTGTCACCTCACCAGAGATCAGCTACAGCGACTCTTCGGTCTGATCAAGGCAGGAATCTAGAATTTCTTTCCGGTGTCATACTGCCACCACCAGATGGCGTCGTCCATTTAGTGGGGGTTTAGGGAGCAGACTCACAGATGGCGTTGACGTTGTTACTCCATACTCCGACGATGGAATTGGGTTCGTAACATCCCCACTGGTAGTCCCGAACTCCTCTTGTGGTGCCTAGTTAACTATTCCCTTTCTTATCTCTGGAACTTCTTGCTCTACTGTGAAGACCTCCTGGAAATTCGTATTGAGTTCCTCACACAATTCCTTGTCGTTTGTAGTGACTCTGTTTGCCCCTGTCCTCAGTTTCATTACCTATTCCTTCACTGTTGTTTTCCTCCTGATGTGGCTGTGCAGCAATTTAGATTGAGTCTTTGCCTTTCCTAACTGCCTTACTGAGCACTAACATCGCACATCATAAAAATTTTTGAGAGAGTACTAAGAAGTAAGATCACAAAATACATGGAATCACAGCATCTCCATAACCCCGGACAACATGGTTTCAGAACAGGGCACTCTTGCCTGTCGCAGTTGCTGGACCACTATGATATAGCATTAGATGTTATGGAAGACAAACAAAACGCTGATATAGCATTTACGCTGATGTAATTTACCCAGATTTCGCAAAAGCTTTTGATAAATGTGACCATGGTGTTATTGCACATAAAATGCGTTCAAAAGGAATTACCGGAAAAATAGGCAGATGGATCTACAATTTCCTGACCAACAGAACCCAATGTGTAATAGTCAACAAAATAAAATCCAGCCCATCAACCGTGAAGAGCTCAGTCCCCCAGGGTACTGTGCTTGCTCCAGTACCTTTTCTCATCCTCATATCGGACATAGACAAGAACACAACCTATAGCACTGTATCATCCTTTGCAGATGACACTAGGATCTTCATGAGAGTAGGCAACATAGAGGACACGGCAAACCTCCAGTCAGATGTAGATCAGGTCTTTCTATGGGCTACAGAAAATAATATGGTGTTTAACGAAGAAAAGTTCCAGCTCATGCGCTATGGAAAAAATGAAAATATAAAAACGGAAACCACGTACAAAACTCAGGCAAATCATAACATAGAACGAAAAGGCAATGCAAAGGATCTGGGTGTACTCATGTCGGAAGACCTTACCTTTAAAGAACACAATAAAGTAGCCGTCACAACTGCAAGAAAAATGACAGGTTGGATAACAAGAACTTTTCACGCTAGAGATGCTATACCGATGATGATACTTTTCAAAACGCTTGTGCTCTCTAGAGTAGAGTACTGCTGCACAATGACAGCCCCTTTCAAAGCTGGAGAAATTGCTGACCTGGAGAGAGTGCAGAGATCCTTTACTGCTAGAATCCACTCAGTAAAACATCTAAACTATTGGGACCGACTAAAGAGCCTAAATCTGTACTCCCTTGAGCGCAGGCGGGAGAGATACATAATAATTTACACGTGGAAAATATTAGAGGGGCTGGTCCCAAACCTGCACACAGAAATAACATCACATGAGACCAGAAGACATGGCAGGATGTGCAGAATACCCCCGTTGAAAAGTGGAGGTGCAACAGGTACTCTGAGAGAGAACTCTATCATCGTCAGAGGCCCGAGACTGTTCAACACGCTTCCGCTACACATAAGGGGCATAACTGGCAATCCCCTCACAGTGTTCAAGAGAGAACTGGATAAGCACCTCCAAAGGTTACCTGATCAACCAGGCTGTAACTCATACGTCAGGCTGCGAGCAGCCGCGTCCAACAGCCTGGTTGATCAGTTCAGCAACCAGGAGGCCTGGTCGACGACCGGGCCGCGTGGACGCTAAGCCCCGGAAGCACCTCAAGGTAACCTCAAGGTAGGTACTTGTTATGTCATTTTCGTATTGTCCTTCTGCCTCTCTTCTCCCCCTGACGTATTCATTCCTGACTCTCTGCTCTCAAGTATCCTGTTATTTCTATAGTTTCTCCACGCTCTTAAATTTTGTTGCTTTGCTAGCCTACATATCCGATCAAATCATGGGTTTCTCATCTGCATTTCGGTTTTTTCCTTTTGGACTGGGGACTAACTTGTCTGCTGCCTCCTTACTCTTCTGCGTGAAGTAGTCCATCATGTGTTGCGCCGTCTTTCCTGAGTTCTGTTTTTCATATTACATCAGTTAGGTATTTTCTTATCTCCTCATAGTTTCCCTTTCGGAATGCCAGCCTTTTGTTTTCAGGTCCTTTCCTTGAACACATTTACCCTTTTCGACCAGATACTCAGACATCAGTACAATGTGATCGCTCATTCCCACGGGAGTATCTAAACCGATTTCCTCTTATGTCGGAGTCATTCAGGGTGAAGACTAGGTCGAGTCTCGCTGATTCATCGTTGCCTCTCATTCTTGTGGGTCCCCTGACATGCTGGTTTAAAAAAGTTTCTTGTAGCCACCTCCAATAGTTTAGCTTTCAATATTTACTAACCCTCCATGCGGTTCCTTGTTCTCCCAGTTTCTCCTTTCGTGATTGAAGTCCCCCATGATGAGCAGACGGAATCGATTTCTACAGGCAGCAGAGGCTGCCCTCTCAATTATAGTGTTAACTGCCATATTGTTTCTGTCATACTCTTGCCTTGGTCTTCTGTTGTTTGGTGGTGGGTTATATATCACTGCTACTACTACTCTTGGTCCTTCCATCGCCATGGTGCCTGTTATGTAGTCTCTGAACCCCTTGCCGCAGCGTGTATGTGTTTGCGCGCATGAGCGCGTGTAAGTACTTACCTATTTGTGGTAATAATAACTACCCACATGTGTGTGTGTGTGTGTGTGTGTGTGTGTGTGTGTGTGTGTGTGTGTGTGTGTGTGTGTGTGTGTGTGTGTGTGTGTGTGTGTGTGTGTGTGTGTGTGTGTGTGTGTGTGTGTGTGTGTGTGTGTGTGTGTGTGTGTGTGTGTGTGTGTGTGTGTGTGTGTGTGTGTGTGTGTGTGTGTGTGTGTGTGTGTGTGTGTGTCTGTGAGTGTGTGTGTGTGTGTGTGTGTGCGCGTGTGCGTGTGTGTGTATACGTGCATGTGTGGTATCATTGTTCAAAGTACCATTCATTCGTCAGAGTACAACTACTAGTACAAAAAGCATAACTCTCTCTACACAATAAACACGAAACCTACAAAGGGTGATGCATGGAGAGCAGAAAACTGATCAATGTCCATGAAAACACACAATGAGAAGGTTTGGGCGGCCACGCCCCTGTGTGGTATATATAAGGCCGCGCCGCCTCCAGCTGCCACAGTCAACACTGACACTCCTGAACCATGAAGACCCTGGTTAGTTACTTCTTCTGGCTCACTTAGGCTATGTACTTTGCTCTTTGCTATTTACAACTGTTTTTTTGGTTGTTTGTGTTACTGCTTCTTTCACCAGTACATGAGAACAAAATATTTTACAACACATTATCTAAGTCATTTTAGTATTTAATTAATTTTGAGTGAATTTTAAGAACCAGAGTTCAAACATTTTAACGTATTTAGCTACTGATTACAGAAACTTATCTCATAGCTCAGTTCAGCTCTAGTTCAATTAAGTATAACCGTAAGTTAATATTGTTCATTCAACAGATCATTGTTGCCGCCCTGGCCGCCTTTTGCTTGGTGGCCACAAGCGCTGCTCCTGCTCCAGATGCTGAGCCCGGTTACCTAGGTGTCCATGGAGGCTTCGGCCGAGGTCTCGGCTTTGGTGGCTTCAGGGGAGGATATGGTGGAGGATATGGAGGCTACGGTGGAGGATATGGAGGCTACGGGGGAGGATATGGAGGCTACGGACTCTACGGTCGTAGGAAGAGGAGCGCTGAGCCTGCTGCTGAGCCTGAAGCTGAACCCGGTTACTTTGGCGGCTATGGAGGTATCGGCCGAGGCTTTGGAGGATATGGAGGCTTTGGTGGAGGCTACGGAGGCTACGGAGGCTACGGATACTATGGCTGAACATCAGTTATTGTTAACTGATAAACTTAATTGATTACACCAATAACAATTCTAATTAATATAAATATATAAAGAATCAAACATTTTCATTTCATTTTTTGATTCCTTCTACAAATATAACATTTTAAAATTTTGTTGCATGACTTTTGTAAACAAATAACCAAACCCAATCATATGGAAATTTATGATAACTTTTCTTTTCGTTCTGGACCTTTATCATGTCAATAAGGAGTTCAGGATAACGTTCAAGCGTCGTTAATATGTCAAAAACCTCGCGATAAGTGTTCATTTATTAAAGCACAGAAACGCTTTAATAAATGTCTCTAACGGACCGGAACGTCGACACAATTCAGTCCCCGTTGTCGGAGCCAGGATGCCTGTACATAAGTTTATGGAGGACCCCGCCTAGGCTACTGTACCTTGTCTTGAGGTAAGGTAAGGTAACCTATAAATAGGCTAGCTACTGACCTTCCCCAGGATGCAACCCACAAAACCTAATTAACTTCTGGGTACCTGTTTAAATAATAGGTAAACAGGCACATCAAATGAAAGGAAACGTTAGCAATTATTTCTCACCGGCCTTGGGGATTGAGCGCAGATCCCATGGTTGTGAACTGAGGACGAAGACTTCTGTGCTATAGGTTCCTACTATGCGCAGGTGCGGTTACATGTTTTCAGCCATCTTATTATGAGTTGAGCGCCATACTCAACCATTCACCATAGCTTCACATTACATACGGTCACAAGATCCAGCAGCATCACACGTCAGTCATTCATCAGATGAAAGGCCCAGTAACATCACACGTCAGTCAGATAAAGGACCGCTACATAAGACAAGGCGTATGGGAATACAACGCAACGCAATACTAACCACTATACGATCACGGCCGAGAGCTCAGCATTGCCCGTGCTACACGGACATTGCGTTCTGAGTAGCTAAATCTAAAACAACAACAGCAACAATAACAACGGGAATACAACGGCTCACTATAGCCCGAGCTACATGGAAATTTTATTCCAAGTAGCTGAATCTAAAACAACAACTGTGAATACGACAGTTACAGCCCCGCTCCTGTGACAGGTAAGTCCACTACGGGTCTCCACAGCCAGTACTACTTGGAACTCTTTTTGTTCCAAGAAGCTGAATCTAAAAACAACAACAACGATAATACAAGTACAGGGAAGTAGTACGGATCCTTCACATGGTCGTCCCTCAAGAACACCTCGACCACTTTTGCGACTTCGACATCTTGAAGAAGAAATTCGACCAGACTTCCAACTTCGGCGAAAAGGGATAAAGATACCAATCCTCTTGTAATACCCGGACATCTCCCTCTAGACCGACCGACTGTGGCCAGCCCCGCCGACTCCTGTGGCATTAAACTATGATCGACGTGTGTACCCCAACTTAGCTTAGATGTTCGAAGGGTTTGGAAAGGTTGGAAGGAGGAAGTTGAATGAGATGAAATTTTTGAAGAGGATATGGATGGTGAAGGAGGAGGCTTGAAAGTAATGTGGCCTGTCCACCATGTGCTGGCATCAAGTATATCTCGGAGGTTGAGGTTCATGCTGGTGAGGTTGAGGTTCATGCTGGTGAGGTTGAGGTTCATGCTGGTGAGGTTGAGGTTCATGCTGGTGAGGTTGAGGTTCATGCTGGTGAGGTTGAGGTTCATGCTGGTGAGGTTGAGGTTCATGCTGGTGAGGTTGAGGTTCATGCTGGTGAGGTTGAGGTTCATGCTGGTGAGGTTGAGGTTCATGCTGGTGAGGTTGAGGTTCTTAATCTGGCTTGGAGGAGGCGTCTTCCCGTTTGGGGTGGTGTATGTTTGCTGGCAGTTGATGGAAGGTGTTGGTAGTGTTTCTTCATTCTTGGGTCTTCATTCTTTATGGGTCTTCACTCTTCAATCGCTGGTCTTCAGACTTCAGTGCTCTTTTTCACTTTTTTCCTTGCAGTTTTCAGCCAACTTGGATCACTGTTTTTCTTTGGTATCGCAGAAGCCGTGGTTGTCTTACTTATCGTTAACATTGCTGTGCTCTCGTTCGATATTGTAGGCATGGTGTCCAGTGGGAAATCATGTGGTCTGTAGTGAACTTTCCGCTGAGGAGGGGATGGTGTTCACACTGAGTCATCTTCAACTGACGAATCGGTTGAATCAAGAGCTGTGGCGGCTTTCCTTGAAGGTTGAGTAGTAGCAGGTCGTGGAGAGGGTTGCAGAGTGATCGCTGTAACTACAACTGGAGTAGAAGGTTCGGTGGGCGTATTCGTAGAACGTTGGTAGTAATCATCGTGGAAGTGGCAGGAACGTTGTCGGCTGGAGAGTCGTCTACCTCTACTGGGTCAGATGGAGGTTTAGCAGGTGTTGCAAGCTGAGCAGCTGCCGAGGCAGTTTCCGTTGATGATGAAGGCTCCTGCCTGCAGGAAGCACCGTCTCTGGAACTCTGAAGGTAGTTAAGCAATTCGCAGCAAAGAGTGTGTTTAGAGTTGTAACGAGCAAACAATTGTCAGACCCATCAGTCCTCTCACCAAGGAGCAGGTACCAGACCAGCGTCTGAAGTAGGTCGAGACTGAGTTGTTAATTGGACGTTAGGCCCCCCAGTTAGGAGGCTGGGAGGTCCGGGCCGAGAGGCGCCGCCTGTCAGAACAGGAATATCTTCTGATTGGTTGATGGGTCCTAGAGGGTTGATGCGGATGCTCGCGGAAGCGGTGTCGTTTGTGGTTGAAGAAAGTCTTTTCACATCAGCCAGTTTCTGTATTTCCTCCAGTCGACGTGGGAAACGGTGTGAAATTGCAACATGGTTACCAACGCAAAGCAGGCAAAGTTGGAATTCTGCCTTGCAAATGGAGTATTGGTGGTCTTCGGCACATACGCTGCACTTAGTGACGCGTTTCTGACATTTCTTGGTGGCGTGTGTATACTTGTAACACTTGAAGCATTGTTGGTCCGCTTCAGCTATGGTGGAGAAATATTTTTCATGGACAAGAAGACGCCCGAGACCGGTTGAACGATGACAGTGATGTCAGTTGGTATCGCAGGAGAGTTCTCAGCTTCGATTGCGTCTACAAGTTCCTTGATGTCTCGGTTAATGATCCACTCGCTGGGTCTCCTGATGAAGACAGTTCTCTCAGCATGGTACCGGCGAGAGAAAGTCACGCTGATATGTGCTTCTTCAAGTGCTGTGCGGGTGGGAAGTGATTTGAAGTGCTCGATGTTATCCATTTGTGAGTAGAAGAGAACATCTGTACCCTCCTGTCGAAAATCGTAAGGTGTGACGTTGGTGCAGGTGGAGAGGGTTTGCAGTAGGTCGGTCGTGCTGAACGCATCGTCGTCCAGGAAGGTAGCCCTCACTCTCTGGTAGGTAAACGTGGCTTGTGCACCATTGCAAAGGCTAAGCCATACAGCTGATCAATTCGTCGGTCTGGCCAGTCCTATGGTCTTGGATTGGATTGGCGCGTCCACAGACCCCCATCCCCAGATCTCCAGTATCACCTATTATTACTGATAATGGCTCCAAAGAGCTTCTACTTACGGGCTCACCATAGCCCATGCTACATGGAACTTTTGTTCCAGTAGTTGAATCTAAAACAACAACAACAACGTACTTTTTAGTACTTGTTATTTACAAACAAACCCTCTACTCCCACTTCACACATCATTGTCACCTCAACCCGTCCTCAGGCAATCCTCGTGCATCTCGCACGCCACCCCAAAGACGTTTTCATAAATTTTAACATACTGTGTATTCAAAATAGGGGTTTTCTCACATATAAAATCATATTATCATATATTACAGTTATGCCTGTTTTGGCGTAGGTTAGGATAAATTAGGTATTTAGATTCTGTTGGAATATATTTGTATTTCTAGTATGTAGGTGAAGCATTTTCAAAGTTGCGATTAGAACATAAGTCGTCAACGAAATAGTTTTCAATAAAGCACTAGTTTGGAGGCTGGATAAACGAGCACTTAGCCTTTGTTGATGAGGTCGGGCTCTCATTATATTTGAATTATCTTTCCTCATTCTAAAATTCTTAATCCTCAGAATCTACTTGTTTTCGTATCGATTTTCCTGAACAGTTTTTCATCATTTTAACACTTCCTCTTATTCTCTTTCTCACTTGGAGAGCATCCCACACTTACCTGACATTCATAATCAAACATTTTCCTGTTTTCATCCCACCTGTCACTGGTATTCAGTTGTTCAGTCTCTTGTTCCAAGATTATTATTATAACCTTTTGTACACTTCATTACTTTATTGCTACATTTCAACTTTTGTATCTTTGCCACTTTCGTACGGAAAGAAAGCAACAGCCAAGCATAAACGTATCTAGGCTTGCACAGAACATTTCCTAAATTAGGTTTCAAATTTCATGTTAGGCCTAGGATTTCTAATTTACGCTTAGGGTGGATGTGAGTTATGATTTAGATGTTGAAGTTTTCGTAAGACCCTTTGGTATGCCATTAGTACACATGTTGATTATTGATAATGCAAAAGTACATATTTTCATCATAGGTAATGTCACTTATGAAAGGTGATTTGTGTGCAAGATATAGTTAATGGGTGAGTCACTTCTGACTATCATTAGATTTGCCATTGGATGATGATGATGATGATGATAGTGATGAGAATATAAAATTTTGTCATGTAATTTCCTGAATTGTGCATTGCTAAATAATTCTTTCATGTTGTTAGAACCATGTTTCAGCAGTGAGGTCATCTGGCTTATAAATTCAAAGACAACTTAAAAATTTAGTATTATTTGAAGGATAGAAATTTTGGCAATGAATAATAAAATATATTGAATGATATTTGAGCTTTGATCATTAATACATTTTTTTAATTTATAAATGAGTGTTCACAGTAAACGAAGCGGTTGGTCAATTGTCAATAGTAGTTTTTCAACCACAGTATCCATAGCCTCAATAACCTCTCCCGAAAACTCCATACCCTCTGTAGCCTTCCAAACCACCGAAGCGTTCAAAGCGTCCAAAACTTCCATAGCCGTTTAGGTAACCTGGATTAGCTTCAGGCTCAGCAGCAGGCTCAGCGCTCCTCTTCCCCTGATAGTAGTCTTGTATCCTCGAA